TATCTTTTCAGATACTTAAAAAAATAGGCACAAGGAGGGGGGTCAAATCATCTGATGATTTTCATTATGTACCATTGTTTGGGTCAACAAACATGAAAAGCATTCCAAGGACAAAAGAAATTAGAGGTATGGTTCCTGCCTTTGAGAGTTTTACTGTTAGATTGGAAGAAAGGGAAATACACACATATAACAATGAGAAAGCAGCATGACGGTAATGCAAATGGAGGACGCATTGTTACTACAGCAAAAATAACACAAACTGATGTACATATACATTATACATGAATTAATACATACACAAAGGTACATATATGCATTGATATGCATTGTATGTCTATGACTGTGTGTATACAGAATGTGTCAGAAGAGCAGTCATATGCAGAAAAGAGGTTTAACTGCTTCAGAATACAAGATTTGCCTAAATTTGAATAATAATAAATACATTTAGATTGGCAGAAAGGAGAAATTTAGAAGAACTAAGTTCGGAGGAGTGATGGTTAATACTGAGTGTCAACTTGATTGGATTGAAGGAGGCAAAGCATTGTTCCTGGGTGTGTCTGTGAGGGTGTTGCCAAAGGAGCTTAACATTTGAGTCAGTGGACTGGGAGAGGCAGACCCACCCTCAATCTGGGTGGGTACCATCTAATCAGCTGCCAGCACAGATAGAATAAGGCAGCAGCAGAAGATGGAAAGAGCAGACTGGCTGAGTCTTCCGGCCTTCATCTTTCTCCAATGCTGGATGCTTCCTGCCCTTAAATATCAGGCTCCTAGTTCTTCAGCTTTTGGACTCTTGGACTTACAGTGGTTTGCCAGGGGCTATTGGGCCTTCGGCCACAGACTGAAGGCTGCACTATTGGCTTCCCTGCTTTTGAGGTTCTGGGACGTGGCCTGATCCACCCTCGGCTTTCTTGCTCCTCACCTTGCAGAAGGCCTATCGTGGGGCTTTATCTTGTGATCATGTGAGTCAATTCTCCTTAATAAACTCCCTTTTATATACAACATCTATCCTATTCGTTCTGTCCCTCTAGAGAACTCTGACTAATACATGAGGGGAGGTAACAACTCAGTTAGCATTATGGTAACACAGACCAGATGTTGAAAGTGGGAAATCACTTGGGAGAGTATTTCAAATGTGGGCCTCAAGTAAATGAATTTCACACAACAAGCAGTAATGGAGTCACTGCTGACACTTAAAATGGCTGAAAGTTAGGTTATTAGCAAATAGGTTATTCTAATAGAAACAATGGGGTCAACTGGATGAAATGTGGGTAGGAAGCTTGGTTAGGATGTTGCTATACTGACTCTGTAACACATAAGGATACACTCCGTATCTTAGCTCTTAATACTCTTCAAAGAACATCTATGACCCCTTCCCATCCAGTATTAGAATCCATTTTATGATACTTCTGAAACTGGTCCATTCAGACTCTCAAAAAAAACCTTCCAATGCCTGAGAACTTATGATTTCTCTAGGAGTCCCATTCCATTTTTCAATAGCACTAATTCTAAAATTTGTTCTTATTTTGAATATAAATCTGTTCCTTATTAAATTTACTTCCATATGGATCTAAGTTCTTCTGGAAGAAACAATACAGATGAACTCTACTCTCTTTTCCTCTTGATAGAACTCAAATATCTAAAAACATAAACATATATCAATATCACAAATATCTCACAGATTCTCCCCAACCTCCACCATATCTGCTCCAGAATAAGGAAAACAAAAACAAAAACAAACTATTTTTGCCCTTGCACTCAGACACTCAATACAGAACACTTCTATGACCAGATGGTGGGGGGTGGGGGGACTTGCCACATATACCAAGCAATTCTCCAGTGGACACCAACTGTGTATCCTATAATTCAACTCGATTCTGATTCTATCTACCTGGAAATAGCATCAGATCCCACAGATTGAGGGCTCAGCCCCACAAGACTCGAGACGTCAATCCCAAGTTGGGGCCACCTGTACTTTGGACTGATGGGCTACAAACCAAGGTTCCCACAGTTCCCTCAATGTGTAAGATTAATTTGCTGGAACAGCTCACAGGACTCAGGAAAACACTTACATTTATTGGTTTATTCTAAGGGATATTATAAAGGATGTCGATGCACACCAGATGAAGAGATGAATAGGGTGAGGAGGGGGGTTGGAGCTTCCATGCCCTCGCTGGAGCTGCCACCCGTGCAGCACCTCTACATGTTCAGCACCCCAGAAGCTCATCCAATCTTGTTGTTCAAGAGTTTATAGAGAGCTTGGTCTCTAGTATCCTCTTCCCAAAGGTCAGTGGGTGGGGCTGAAAGTTGTAGCTCTCTAATCTTCTAATTATTTGGTCTTTCTGGGCCAATCTTGAGGCTTTCTAGGGGGTGTACCCTGAGTAAATGCATTAGCATCAATACAAGGGTTATCCAAGGGGCTAATGATGAATAACAAAATATACTACTATCACTCCAAAATTTCCAGGGGTTTTCAGGACCTCTATGACAGTAACTGGGGACAAAGACCAAATATAGCTCCTATTACACTACAGCTCTTCTTCAGACTTGACTCACACATTTTTCAGCTGTTCATTGTAGGACTTCACTGTCCATCACTCTCTGGCTCATACTCACTTGTTCACATTTATGCTGCTCTAAAAAGGGTGCAGCAGTTTGTAACACAGTGGTATGGTTTGACTATGTCCCCACCCAAATCTCATCTTGACTTGTAGCTCCATAATCCCCACGTGTTGTAGGAGGAACCTGGCAGGAGGTAACTGAATCATGGGGGTGGGTTTTTGCCAAGCTGTTCTCGTGGGAGTGAATAAGTCTCATGAGATTTGATAGTTCTATAAAGGGCAGTTCCCCTGCACACGCTCTCTTGCCTGTCACCATGAAAGACATGCCTTTGCTCCTCCTTCCCCTTCTGCCATGATTGTGAGGCCTCCCCAGCCATGTGGAACTCTCAGTCCATTAAATTTCTTTTTCTTTATAAATTACCCAGTCTCACGTATGTCTTTATTGGCAGCGCGAGAATGACGGATATACACAGTGATCCACAGTGGCTTGATCTCAGCAAAATACACTGTAATTCAATATTAGCAATAGATGACAAGCAACTATAGCCATGGTGAATCTCAGATGCTGAAAAGAGGGAAAGAAAGAGAGCCCCAGCCCTCACCATCAGGCTTAGAAGGGAGTGCTATGGTTTGACTGTGTCCCCTCCAAAAACCAGGTGTTGCCAATGCAGTATTATTAAGAAGTGGCTTCTTTAAGATGTGATTAGGCCATGAGGGCTCTTACTCCGGAATTTAGATACTTATAAAAGAGGCTTTACTTTGCATTAGGCTCTCTTGCCTTCTGCCATGTGAAGACACAGCAATGAGGTGTCATCGTGCAAGCAGAGAGCAGCGCTCACCAGACACCAGTGCTGAAGTCTTCATCTTGGACTTCCCAGCCTCCAGAGCTCTGGGTGATAAATTTCTGTTCTTCATAAATGACCCAGTCTGTGGTATTTTGTTATAGCAGCACAAACAGACTAAGACAGGGAATGTACTCCATGTAAAAAACTTTTTTAAAAATGGCCATTTAAGACCGTAAACACAGAAAAGAGAAAAACAAAGACACCTTTCTCATTTACTTTCACACTTACAAAGTGTTTCTCAAATGAGCACACAGAGATTAATGAATGCATTACGAAAGAATGAAGATGGTAAGACACTTGTTTTTATTCCCAGGACAGAACTGGTGAGAGATGAGTTGGCTTTTGTTCCCCCCAACCCCCCCACCCCCCTACCCCACAAAGACACATATCACGGCTTCCTTCCTTGAAATTGGCATTTTCAGGATTGGAATATCCCCACAGTAAACTTCTAGATGCCTGAACATCTTAAGGATGCCGTATTTGAATGGTATTCTTACCATTATTCTTTCCACCTGCTTCCTAAAACGCTTTAATAACCAGAGATAATAACTTTCCTCATCTATAAGGCAGCTGCATGCCAAAGACACAAGCAGCTGCACCTCTGCTTAGTCCACATTGCTGGGGTTTTACAATGAAAATGCGCACGTTAGACTTTTTTGTGGTTTTGCCTTCTTGGAGGTGGAGTAGCTCTGAGGTCTGTCATTCACTGATGTTAGAAGGCTGCCTGTGGTAACACAGAACCCAGTGTAGCAGATAACAAAAGGCAAAGACAATTTGAATCAGAGAATTGCAGGACTGGAAGACTCAACAGAAAAAGTACCGTTGTCTTCCTGACTTTCAGTGATGATCTGAATTATCTCTGAATATCTGGAATGTCACAGCAGCCTTTTCTTGGTGGTGGGATTACATGCATTTCTTAGTTCTCTTATTTTTGTTTATCTGTATGTTATTTTTATTCAGTGAATATGTATCCCTGTTTAAGACGAATATATGTTTTCATTAAAAATAGAAGAGATGAGGTTAGTAATGATAGTTTTATGTTCATTTAAAGATGTGTCCCCAAATTGCTTTTACAGAATTAGGGTGGCTGGCTAGTTATAAAGAAAAACTGACATTGTTCCTTCTTAAAAATGAGGTGAAAACCAGGGGTTCACCACTGTTGCCCAGGCCCCAATTTCCATCCAGTTGAGTTAGGACATTGCTCAGTTAAATCTTAGCTGACAGATGACATTACACAGCTAGCTGTGGCTGAGAGGATCCAGTGACTGTGGCTGAGAGGAGCTGAGCTGAGGCAGAACTCCAGTCACTGGGGGACATGACGGGAAGCTTCTCAGTCCTCACAAGCTCCCCCACCATCCACTAGGACCCTCTGCTCTGCTATTTGCCGGAGTAGTAGCTCTCAAATGAAGGACTCCATACCAGCACCATCAGCAACATCTATGAATTTGTTAGAAACTCAAATTATGATACTCCATCCTAGACAGACTTGGTCAGAAGTGCTGGGGTGGGGCCCTGTGAGCTATATGTAACAAGCTCTTCTGGGGAATTTGATCTGGCTTAGCGACACAGTTACCATGCTGTGCTGGGCCCATCTTACCTACTCCTCTCCCGAATCCCCCCAGAGCTTCTCTAAGCACCGCTATGTCTCCAGTTCCTGGTCAAATAGAACACAGAGGAGACTGGGTTAATTTGACACTAATAGCAACCTTGTCTCTGATGCTCTTTTCATATCATTGCTGTTGGAGTAATATTCTATTGCCAGATGTCAGTGCTGATAGAGAATTCAGAAATGAGGAGGAACTAGAGGCATTTGCTGGGCCTCTGCTGTTTCTCTTTATTTCCAACATGCCACTGGCATGAAATATAGCTGGTTGCATTGAAAGTAGCAGTGCTTTTTTCCCCCTAAATGTACAGAAATCTGTTTTTCTTATGTGTGGGTGGCAATTTGCTGCTGGGAGCTTCAAAACCATGGCTGCGCTATGAACAAAAAAAATGCTCTTAGAGTCTGAGCCCTGTTAACCTCTTTCTCCCAAACAAACAAATAAACCTAAACGCTATGTCTAAGTCCATCTGTCAACAGGCATTTACTGAGTACCTATTGTGTTTAAGGGATTTTATGTGCAAGGTGTCTCAAGAGGGGAAAATAAAAATACAAAGGCTATGTACTTAAGATATTTTCACCGAGGTTGGGCAGACAAGGCTTGAGAACAGTCATCAGGAAATCTATTACACCAACAATGGTGAAACAAAAGAGTGCCAAGTGGACCCTGGAAGGCAGCGGCAATGCAGTGGGGGCAGCGTGGGAGGTTAAGTGGCCCCCAAGGTGGCATGGCCAGAGCAGAATGTGATGAGAGACCAGGCAGCTGGGAAGAGGCCTTTAGCTTAGAAACAATAAGCAACAGGGAACCACTTTGAGTTCCTGAGCAAGGAAAAGACAGGATGAGCCTGGTTGCCATAATTAGAGAGCACTACACTGAAGTGTGGGTTGGCTATCAGAAGGTAACACGGGCATGTGTTCTAATGGCTGTGTGCAGAGCATGTCATGCAGGCTTGGCTGGCCAACACCCAGCTGTCAGGGGTCTTATGTTCTACTAGGGACAGATGTGAAACAACCATGGAAAGAAAAACACAGCACAGGATGTGTTAGTTCATTTGTGTTCCTGTAACAGGCTGAGACTGGGTAATTTATAAAGAGCAGAGATTTATTTCTTACAGTTCTAGACTGGGAAGTCCAAAATCGAGAGGAGGCCATCTAGTGCGGGCCTTCTTGCCGCACCAGCCCATGAAGGAATGCAGACGGGCAAGAGGACTGATCATGGCATGAACCCCTCTTCACCTCCTAAAGGTCCTACCTCCCAGCACTGGTGCATTGGAGATTAAGTTATCAACATTGAACCCTGAGGAGCATGTTCACACCATAGCATAGGGTAACTTTCCACCATAATAAGCGCTGTGAAGACACTAGAACATCATGAGAGAGTCAAAGGGTGGGGGTCCTGCTTTAGGACACATCTGTGTTCCAACATCGCAGTGCCCTGGAAGGCGCCAAGGGCTGGTCTGTCTAGGAGACTGTGGGGAGCAGGAATACGAGGAGGAAGAAGCAGATCGCGGAGACGGCGGGGCGGTAGAGGGAAATGTCTTCTGGTGTTCCTGATTCATGAATAGTTTGATTCTTATTCATTTCTTCTGGTCGGAAAATCAGTGTTAGTATTTGTATCAATCATAACAGCTCACATTTGAATTATACTTTGTAGTGGCCATGATAACTCTGTGAAGTAGACACAGAAACTCTTTACACAAGACGTTCTAAGAGAGGAAGGGGGTGCCTGCCTGTCACACCCGCAAGGGGTGGGGACTTGGGTCCTGCCTGGGAGTTTTGGCCCAGACCCCCTTCCATCCCGCTGTGCTCATGCAGGCAGCTTCTCCCTTCCGTAGTGAGGGGAGCCTGCTCAGGTCCTCAATGTCACTGTGCATGAGAGTGAAGAGGATACCCAGAGAGAAAAGTGCTCCGCTGTGTGTATTTCCAGCAAAACAGATGCATGGCAGAACGTGGGGAGAAACACATCGACCAGAGCTAGCTACTACGTATCACCAAAATGGAGCAGTTTTATAAATATTTTATATGCATAAAATGTGCCTTGTGATGGTTAAAAGATACATCTTTCAAGATGGCCTTTTTTCACTACCCTTGGTTGAGCCTATGAATAAATAAGGCAACTTTCTTAAATGAGAAAATGGATTTGAGAGTCAGGCAAAGTGTTGTGTACTGGGAAGAGAGGTTTTACACATTTTTCAAGGAGTGCGCATAGCAATCACCAAGAGGTACCTCAAACCCGGGCATCCAGGGTGCAACTGCAGCAAGACTGAGACAGGCTCTAAACATCATTCGCCTAATGACTCCCACGTGACTCGGTTTCCCTACTGAGACTCTGCTCCAGTGGGGAGGACATGGGTGCTACTTCTTTATATCCCACACTAGAGAGTGCAGGTAGAAGGTAATTGATAATATTCTTTGGAGGCATGAATGATGGGGCCTTGGGAACCAAGGAAACTAGTCAATTGAAAAATCAATGAGTCCACCCAATTTCAGGTGGTTAGAGATGTGCTGGGCAAAGGTGTGGCCTTCTCAGGGTCATTCTCCTTATTCCCTAGGGTGGGCACCCTGAGAGAAACATCCCAGTGGTCTCGGGACTATCCCCAGCAGGCACCTGCCAGTAAGGCTGCACCCATAATAGACAAACCCTCTGATGGCCTGACACCTGCTGTGAACAGGTTATTAAATATTGTAAATATCACTCTTTCTGGAAACGATGGGTACAACAGGCTTTTAAATGTTCCTCCCTGTTCAGTGACTCAAGAGGTCTTCTATCCTTCAAGTGTGTTATCCTGGAGAAAAAAAGTTCAAGAATAACTGCTCCAGATCATCTTCTGAGTCTCATGATTAGAGGACCAGCAAAGGGGCTTTGGCAGCATCTCACAATTACAGATAATCTTCTCCTGGAGCAGGCTAATTACATTCCAATCCCTTCACTCATAACTAAGACTGTTATCAAGAAGCCTGACACTACTGCTGATGACAAAGACTTTCTTATTTGCTTGCTGTTTTAATTACTCAGCTTTTAAATGTTCCTGGAAGAAAAATTAGAAAATAGAGACAAACAAAATAAGAAAGGGGAAAAAATCACCCCTCATCCCCTAGTGAAGGGTACCTGTTGCTAACATTCTGGAGTCTCTCCTTCCAGAGATTTCCGTGTCGTGCTGATAGGCTTTATTAATGGAGCGTTTTTTTTTTTTTTTAAAGTATTTCTCAAGAGTTGCAGGAGAAGTAAAGAAAGTAAAGAGAGAAGAGAGGAGGGAAAAAGGAGAAGAGAGAGCAAGCAAAGTTTCAGAAGACCACCTTGCCAGGCACCTAGTCTAGGGTGGGCAAATGTTTTCTGTGAAGGACCAGCTAACCTGGCTTTGTGGGGCATGCAGTCTCCGTAGCAACTACCCAACAACACCTTCATACCACAAAAGCTTTCTTGTCTGTGACACTGCTTCCAGATATGTGACTAGGGTTATCATGTGTGATTATGGACATCATGATATAATTTAAATCATCTCTGTGTGCACATTTAAAAATCAGGAATGGAGGCTGGGCGCAGTGGCTCACGCCTGTAATCCCAGCACTTTGGGAGGCCCAGGCGGGAGGATCACGAGGTCAGAAGATCGAGACCACCCTGGCTAACACGGTGAAACCCCGTCTCTACTAAAAATACAAAAAATTAGCCGGGTGTGAGTAGTCCCAGCTACTCGGGAGGCTGTGGCAGGAGAATGGCGTGAACCCAGGAGGCGGAGCTTGCAGTGAGCCGAGATTCCGCCTCTGCACTCCAGTCTGGGTGACAGAGCGAGACTCCGTCCCCCCTCCCAAAACAAAACAAAACAAAACAAAAAAAAAAACAAAAAAAAAAAATCAAGAATAGAAGGAATTGAATATAATACTGTCTACTTAGCCTGTATCTTTCATACGGTGTCCCTCTTATGTAAGTCTCTTGTTCACCTATCATGATAAGAGAAGCTCACGTAATGCTGCCTGATGGCCCCCACTAATCCAGCTCCTGCGTTCAAGTCATCCTCCTGCCGTAGCCTCCCGAGTACCTGGGACTATAGGCATGCACCACCATGTATGGCTATTTTGTTTTTATAAATATTTTGTAGAGACGGTTTCTCACTATGGTGCCCAGGCTGGTCTTGAACTCCTAGCCTCAAGCGGTCCTCCAGGCTTGGCCTCCCAAAGTGCTAGGATTACAGGCATAGGCCACTGCACCTAGCCCACTGTTCTAACCCACTTCTCTGGGTCCGTGGCTCTGCAGTCTTTCTTGTGTAACTCCAGTTTTGCCTCCCCATTCGCACTATGCTCCAGTTTTCCGTGGTTCTGCTTCCCGATCTTACTAGGATTGTAGCACAAGGAACCAACAGAGTAAACCATTGGATTCCTCTAGAAAGTTGAAAAAAATAACTAAGAATAAAGTATAAGAATAATCACAAGCCTGAAGTACTGCTGCTTGATAATTATTAACCATACTAACAATAACAAAAAAAATTATCAACAATTAAAAAGTTCGAAAGAGTAGCAGCAGTCATTAAGAGCTAATCACCCACCAGGTATGGCGTGAAGGTCTTCTTGTGCATTATCATAGCAGCCCTACCACACCACACCACAGGTAACTACTATCTCCCTACCTTACGCGGGAGGGTCACTCACAGCTGGTACCTGGAGAAATCTGAACTCATGCATCCCGAATTTGGACTCAGTGCGGGCAATCCTCCTGTGCCCCGACACTGCAGAGGCTGCTCTGGAAGCCCATCTGGAGGCACTGCAAACTCACCTGCCCCGCATTTCAGAAGGCACTGATGGACACAGGTGAAGGGGGCAGGTGGGCACAAGAAAGTCATCCCCTGCAGAGAGGAGGCCTGGCATTTAGCTGAGAAGGGGCTCTGCATCCCACAGACAATGTGCAACTGTCTTCATCCATAATATCGAAGGTATTTAACACACATGTTTAAATGTACGGTTTCCTAACCAAGATGATTAAGAAAAATATCTGTCAATGAAAATGCACTTTGCTTTCAAAATAGAAAATTCTACAAGAAGTTAGTATATTCTTGTAAGTA